CCCAAGCCCAGATATTTATGATGGAATCATTAGGGGGGGGGAGGGGGGGGGGGCGGACATTTTTGGGGAGGGGCCCTACACCCTAAAGCAACTCAGGAAACGCAAGAAGAAGGCTGCCGCATTCGATCCAGTACCCTGGCCACGACGTGTAAAGCAGGAGCTTTTGCCGGATTGCTAGGCTGTCAAACCCAAGAACCCCTGTAGCTGTATAGTATGTCAGTGTTCAGGGTCTGGGGTTTAGGTATTATGCGTTCAGGTTTGGGGATTCGGGCTTTGGGGTTTAGGTATTCAGGTTTAGGGTTCGGGGTACCATAATGGAGGATCAAATGGAAAAGAATATGGAGAGTGAAAAAAGGATACTATGTTCATGCAGGCTGTATACTTGGGCCTTAAGTATGCATGCATGGGTTTAAGCGTATCCAACATACATAAACGGGCCGTTTCGGATAAAATATGGCTTCATGTTGGGGGTCTAGATATTAGGAGCTGTATCATAATAAGAAATCTAGAAGGTACCATAACGCTGACAGCCCCCGATTTTGCGCTCCCTGCCTGCCAAGGATCCGTTCGTAGTAAACACACCTTCGTTGGCCTATAAGGGCCGGTAGATCTGAATCTTACGCGCTGCCCACTAGACTCCTAGAAATCCCCAGACCCCGAGGCCCAAAGCCTAAACCCTTTGTCGTTGGGGCAGGGAGGATATGAGGCTTACCTTCTTCAGCAGGAAGTAGGCTGTCAGTAGCCTGGTTCATGCAGAAGCTGCCTTAAACCCTAAACCCTAAACACCCTAAACCCTAAACCGCCCGCAATTCCTTCTGGCCTTAAGGTGGCTTGGTTCTTCGAAATGTTGAGGTCGCATTCAGCCACTCACCCTGAAAATCCTAGCCCTAACCTACAACAAGAACCGTACTGAGAATAGGAACCGTAACGATAATATGGTAAAATAAATCGACAGGATGTAATCCTGTTGGTACCTTAAACCCTAAACCCTTAAACCCTAAACTCTAAAGCCCTAAACCCCAAAACTTTAAACAAAAACCCAAACCCTAAACTGATAAACCCTAAACCCTTAAACCCTAAACCCTTAAACCCTACATCCTTAAGCCCTACATCCTCAAGCCCTAAACCCTGAACCTTAAATCCCTAAAGCCTGAAACCCTAATCCCTTGAACCCTAAACCCTTCCGAGTCCAAGCAGCTTGGCGTATGCCCGCCCTTTCCCTTCTTCGACCCTCTCAACATCACGCCAGTCGGCAAGAGGCAGGCTTTAGGGTTCAGGGTTTAGGATTTAAGGGTTTGGGGTGTAAGATTTATAAGGGTATCTTACCATTACTGCGGTTTCGGGTTGTCATATGGATCTTGATGGCAGTCCAAAAACGCGCAAACATTTGGCACGTTCACTACCTGGGCATCATCAGAGCATCATTTGCGATAGTATCGGAATGTCTTGTGGGGCTGTCCGGAAGCAACAGTCTTGGATTTATTCTTCGCTGTTAGGGGATTCAGGGCTTCGAGATGTCTGAGAGCAAGTGACTAGCAAGATCATGTCTGTTTTGCGGGTGATCAGCGAAAGCAAATAGTGTCCGTTGAAGAGCTGTGTCTTGATCTTTTCCAAGATGGACCAGCGGCCTGTTATTCCGCAATCTGTTGCCTGAAAGTGCAGTGAAAGGCTATCTAGACCAAGGCACCAGAGCTAATATTGCAGGAATATCCCATCTGCAGCCTGTTTGCCCCAAGACGTCCTGCCCTTCTGCGGTCCTTGAGCTTTCCCCTGACCATGCCCATGTTGCGACTGCTGACGGCCTCTGCTGTGGCGCTGTGCTCAGCGCAATTGACCAGGCGAGGAAAGACTCAAGACTCTCGATCTTATGAAAGCGGCAGCCCTAGGAAATTAGGCGCCATAGATGTTTTAGGGGTAGTTCACCAGTTGGCTAACTTTGGAACAAAGCCAGGTGGGAGAGCCATGGTGAGATGATGGATGAGGAGTCCCTGAAGCAGAAGGCAGTCACCCAGGATGGGAAATTTCCTTAGAAATAGTTACTCATTTCTGTCATGTACAGTCTGAAGAACCAGCTGAATGCATAATTTCTACCACACCCTTCAGAGTCCAAGGACCAAAAAAAAGGTGTAGGGCACAAATATTATTAATGTTACGGCATTTGGGCTCTAAACCCGAATTGTTTGGGTCCTTGGACCCTGGGGGAAAGGGTAAAGGGAACTCAAAGACAACCACACCCGTCAGGGTCCAAGGACCAAACAAAAAGGTGTAGGGCCCAGATATTATTAATGTTACGGCATTTGGGCTCTAAACCCGAATTGTTTGGGTCCTTGGACCCTGGGGGAAAGGGTAAAGGGAACTCAAAGACAGGAGCTCATTGATGCGGTGAACTCCGCAGAGGGCTCGACGTGGACGGCCGGAAAGAACGTCCGGTTCGCCGGTGCCTCTCTGAAGGACGTGAAGACCTTGATGGGCACCCTGCAACTCGGTTTTGGAGTCAGGGTTAAGGGCTATATGGGTACTGGATCCACGCAGTCTATTGGGTTTAGGGTTTAGGGTATTTCCACTTAAAAGATTTTGAAGCAGCTGTGCCGAACAACATGTATTGATGACTTGTTCAAGTCGACGACAGGCAAGACTTGGACAACAGCAACGTCCTGCCGTACAAGGCTCCAGAGGAGCTCCTCAGGATTTAGGGTTGAGGCTTTCAGGAGTTAGGGTATAATATAGGCTTTAGGGCCGGATGATTTTGAGAGAGTAAGTATATACTCAATAGCTATACGGACCCTTTGGGAGGAGCTCCTAGATCTTCCGGATGAGTTTGATTGGCGCACCGATCCGCGAGCCCAGAATTGCCCCAGTCTCAAGGAGGTGCGCGACCAGGCAGACTGTGGCTCCTGCTGGGCTTCTTGACTTGCCAACAGAACAGATTTAAGCTGCGTGTGTTTTGTTTCCCTACTTTATCAAAAAAATCGAGCCATTGATCTCCTTGTCTTTGGATAAAAAGGCTTTCGGATCAGTTGAAGCCATGACAGATCGCGTCTGCATTGCCAGCAAGGGCCAGAAGAAGATCCATCTCTCTGCTGAGGATGTGACCAGCTGCTGCTCCCTTGGAGACATGGGCTGCAGCGGTGGCATTCCATCCACTGTCTACACCTACTACAAGACAGCTGGCATTGTTGACGGTGGCAACTATGGTGACAAGTCCATGTGCTACTCCTACCAGCTTCAGCCTTGCGCGCACCACAGTACCTCTCCCCACTACAAGAACTGCACCGGGGACGAGCCTACACCTTCCTGTGCAAAGAAGTGCGTGGACAATGGTGCCAGCTGGAGCAGCAGCAAGCACTATGGCAGCGGCGGTTACAGCGTCTGCCAGCAGGGCAGTGGAACTAACTGTGCCCAAGCGATGATGCAGGAGATCTACAAGAACGGACCCATCACGGGTATGTTCTTTGTGCATCAGAGCTTCCTCTCTTACAAGTCCGGGGTATACAAGGCTGGGTTCTTCTTTAAGGATCCCATGCTTGGTGGTCACGCCATCAAGATCCTGGGCTGGGGCACCGAGAAGGGCACGCCATACTGGCTGGTCGCCCGCTCAGTTGCGTTTCAGGGTGTAAGGTATTCGTTTGAAGACATATATGTAGTGTTTGGAGCATTGTTCTGAGACTGCGCGATGTCTGGGCAGCATGACACAAGATAGCTTACATCAGGCAACTTCCCATGCATGCTCACAATCTAGGTGGCCAACAGTTGGAATGCTGACTGGGGGGACCACGGTTTCTTCAAGATTGAGCGGGGCACGGACCAGTGCCAGATTGAGAATCCAATCATCAACGGCGGCCCTGTGGCAGGCCAACCCAAGCTGCAAAGCACGGAGGAGTTGGTAGTGTAAGCGCCCGCAGCACACCATCCCCTTGCCTGCAGCTCAGGTTGCCAGGCATTTAGAAGTCTGACTGTGACCCTCACAAAAGTTGCATGTGTCATGGCAGAGTTATGTCCCTCATGCTTGGGAGATTTGCCGATTGGGCATCTCCTCTTACGTGGGATATTGTGTCCGGGACGCTTCAAGGCTGGGCAAAACAGCCTAGAGAGGCACTGCTCCAGAAAGGCCCTGTGGCCCCCTAAGGCTTACTGGCACTCAAGATCACATCACATAACCCTCAATTACTGGGATGATTCCTCACGACCCACAGAAGGGGTCCCACTAATCAAGTCTGAGACTTGAGACAGTGAAACCCAAGGATGCTTGTCAGGTTTCAGAGAGTAGACATAAGAGGACCCCACAAAAATGAGCCCAAATGTTCGGAAGCCCCAATCCCGTATAGAATCCTAGTTTCCATGTTATTTTTAATATTTTTGTTCATCTGATCCTCAATTATTGGAAGCCCTAGAGCCCCATATGTCCCACACAAGCTTACATGTCCCCAAATGCCCCCCGTAGACCTTTGTGGTAGTTTGCCAAAACAGGTGACCCATGGGGACCCCAATATGGACCCGCGATTATTCTGAACCTGCTTATAGCGAGCCCAAAAACTTACCCCATAGTTTGGGAAACCCTAGACCCTATACAACCCCT